GTTTGGGCCAAAAACCTGGGTGCATATTATACATAGGAGCACATTATACATAGGAGCACACTATACACAGCAAAATATGGTAGATCCAGCAATTCCATTGCTAGTCACTGATCCTACAAGTACACCAGCACCAACAGGCAAAGATATTAAAAAATGCTCACTGTAACTGTACATAATTGCATTAACTAGAAAACAGGCTAAATGCTCTCCATTTGTTTCAGTGGAAAAATGCTGCATTTATATAGCAGAACTCAGCTGCTATGAAAAAATTTGTCAGATTTATGTGCTGATGTGGGAAGATGTCAAAGTTACTTTATAAAATGGAAAAGGGAAATGTAGAACAATATGTATAGTTTGATTCTTGATTTTTTTCAAAGGAAATAGTTATATGCTTTTATGTGTTGGAAAATTTCTGGCAGGATATGGAATAAACTGTTAATAGCAGTTACCTCTGGGAGGGGAGGTGAAGAGTGGTGATGGGAGATTGAGGAATTAACCTTGAACTTTCTGTTCTTCCTTAGAGTTTGGCTGTATTACCATTAACATTATAATTTTTATAAAATTTTACTTAAAAATCTGATATTGACTATTGATTTAATATTTACTAAGAATTTTTATAAAATTTAGTTGTTTTAATCAGGAGGCAGTGTTAAATTTTATCTTTGGAGATTATGGCATTTTTCTTTCTTATATGACCTACATGTATGATTTATTTCAATTATTTTAGTATTATAAAAATATCCTGGCATTTCTATGGTAAAATCTACCTGATCATGTTAAAAATAACTGACTTCATTGAATATAATTTACTGGTATATTTATGGGAAATTCTGGCATTGAATTTCTTATGTGAGTTTATACTAGTATTTTTTTAGTGTTTTTCTGTACCATTTTGATATACTTTATAATAATTATATTTCTTCCTAAAATGAATTATATTTTAATATCTTTATGCACTTAGAAAGGGAATTATATATCCTTCAAATTATGCAAGAATTTGCCAATATAATCTCTAGGGCTAAACCTCTTTAAAATTTCCTCTCTGTTTTTGATCTACCTGGATTTTTAATTTCTTCTTGATTCAATATGGGTGATTTATATTTTTCCAGAAAATAAATGTTTTAGCATACAGTTAACTACACATAGTATTCTCATATAATTAAAAAAAGTTTCTATGTGTTTTTTCTCCTCCTTTATAATTTTATGTATATAGTCTCTCTCGTTTATTAAATGGATTTGCCAGATATTTCCCTACTTTCTTCCTATTTTTCTGAAAAAATATTTTTGGATTTATCAATAATTGTGTTTTTGTTTTCTATTTCATTAATTTCTGCTTCAATCTTTTAATTCTCCTTTTCTCACAGTCTAATTTTTTAAAAAGCACTACTCAGTTCACTTATTTTTATCCTTTCGTGTTTAATTTTTCCCTGCTAAACAATGTTACTAAACTTGGTCTGGTTTTAAATGACTTTTAGGTATTTCTAATAATTAAATCTACTCTGATAGGCAGAGGGCTATAATTGACTATGTCCATGTAAAAGAATGGGACTCAGTCTCCTGTGGCAAATTTTTACAGAATTCTAAAACTGTGTGAGGAATGGCAATTTAATTGCAGCAAGCTTACAACTTATTCTAAAGGGGTCAATATCTATTTGTAATATAAAATCGATATGTTTACTAGAATATTATCTGCCCTCAGATATTTGGAAAGAATCAAGTGCCAGGATTTAAGGAGAAACTGTTATGTCTGCTTAATGGGATGTCCTCAGATAGGGCAAGTTTGTAGAGCAAGATATTTAAAAATGTTTTTTCTTTTTGTGAAAAGGTATTTAAATACATTATGTGTACAGCCTGACGTCATGATTGGAATTAACCTCAGATAAAACATTTTTAAATGTTAGGATTATACATTGTTCACATGATAGGATGACAAAACTTTCACTGCAAAAACCAATTTACTGCAATGATACCGATGTTGGCAGAACATGCTTTTAAAAATAACTTTTCGCCCTGGCTGATGTAGCTCAGTGGATTGAGTGCCTGTCTGTGAACTGAAAGGTTGCCGGTTCTGTTCCCACCTGGGGCACATGCCTGGTTGCTGGCCAAGTCCCCGGCCAGGGGCGTGGGGGGTTGGGCGTGGGGCATGGGGCGTGGGCAAGGCAACCAATCTGTTTCTCTCATCCATCAATGTTTCTCTTTCTCCTTTCCTTCCCCCTTCTTTAAAACTAAATCTTAAAAATTATTTTTTTAAAACAATGCTTTGATAGGCCAGATTATAAACAAGAAAAGTAAATCTCTCATAAAAAAATATTGTGTTAATAGAAAGGTAGATTTGCAGATGTGATCTTTACCAGCATATGCCTCAAAAGATCACCAGATCCATGTGTTTGTATATTATGTAACAGTGTTTAAGTGGCCAGGAAAGGGAGGATTTTGTAGTCCAGAAAGTGGAAATGTCCTATTCAACATATGACCCTGGACAGTCCCCTCTCAAATTACTGTTGATCAAATTACAGATGGTTGGCAAGTCAGGTGGGAGGGAAGAAAAGGTCTGACAAACTTGGCATTAAACAGGAACCACAAAGCCAGTGGCTATTATTAAAAACACAAACTTGTCCTGGCCAGGTGGCTCAGCTGTTTGGAGTGTTATCCCACAAACCAACAGGCTGAGGGTTCGATTCCTGGTCAGAGCACATGTTTGGGTTGCAGGCCCCCTTCTTCCTCACCCCTCAGCTCCCATGTGTGCGAGACAACCGACTGGTCACATCTCTTTCTCCCTCCATTTCCCTCTCTATAAAATTAATAAGCATGTCCTCAGGTGAGGATAAAACAAACAAAAATCTCCAAACTTACTGAAGTCTTTAATATATTTTTTAAAAAATGCAAAGAAAAATTGTTTTGCAAAGCATTCTGGACCAAAAGTTCCTTTAAAAAGCTTCAATATAGCATTCCCTACTCAGTTTTAGAAAAGGTAGAAAGAACATGGCTTAATGAATGAACCAAAAACATATACCTAGCTGCTCCCAACACTAACAGTTTTATGATCATGTTTGAAAAGCATTTACTTTGTTTTGCATCCACATGCATTTCAAGTTTTTCAAACTTTCAAATGTTTAAACCATGTACATACCTGTGGTCTAGGAATTTATTCTTGAAAGGAAACACCATTAGGCACCAATAAATGGAAAATCAAACTTTTATCTCTACCAACTTCAAACAGGAATGTATATATAAATGTATGTATTTAACAGTGAGCTTGACTGGATGCCTTTCAAAGCAGCAATTTGGGGCTAATAGGAGAGTAAGTCAGAGCCCAAAATAATCTTAATTTTGTTGGTTATTGTGGCTGTGAAATTGTAAGTAAAGCACAGACCTAAAGCCCAAATTCTGCTAAAGGATTACCAAGAAAGTAGAGCCTGAGGCCAAGTTTAAGTGTTAAGATTTTGTTAGGAGGGGCAACCCAGGGCTGTAAGGATGAGGGGAAATGTAAAAGAAAGCAAAAAATACGAGGAGATGCAGCACTGAGCTGAAAACAACTTCACAAGAAAATACAGCTTATTGCTCAGTCCCAAAGGGCAGCTTCCAGACAAGCCACGAAGATCCATCATTACTTGAGAAAGTAGAGGGGGAGGAGTTTATATGCTGGCTACTTCTTGCTTTCTGTATTCTTTGATGCAAGTTTGTCTCAACGGAACCCTCCTCTCACTTGCCAGGGAAGCAAGAGCATGCTGAGTGAGTCGCACAGTTTTTTTGCATGAGTCTAGCACTGGTTGGAGGAGCAAGAGCCTCCATCAGAGCTCTGGTGTGACAGAGGCCCTGCTGAAGCCTGACCCGGGAGACTGTCCTGACCGGAAGCCACAGAAGCAGAGGCCAGACCTCGGTGCTGAGAAAGAGGCTAAAACAGGGGCAGTAGGATTGGGACCCACCAAATCTGGGAAGGTGCATAAACTGGGTGCGGTGTAGTATATCCTTTTTGGACCTGAGCAACTCCTGTGCTGGTGCTCACTGATTCTCAGGAAACAAGAAGGAGCTACTGAATTCAGAGACAGCACTCATTTAACGCTCAGGTTTTGTAAATCGTAAAATTTTTCCACCAACCTGTCCTTTATTTCTCAACTACCCCTGGCCACTACTTTAACTCTTTCCCTCCTAACTTTTTTTGAGGGGTAATTGGAATATATTAAAATTCACCTATTTTAAGGACCACAGCGTGATACATTTTTGTCATCTGTCTTTGACTTGTAACTACCACTGTCAAGACATGGAATTGTTTGTTCTATTACCTTCCATTACCCCCCAAAGTTCCCTCCTGCTCCTGGCATTGCATCCTCTTCCGTTTTCACCCCTCCCCAGGGAACTGCTTCCCCTAACTAGTTTTGCTTCTTTTAGAATTTCATAGAAACAGAGTCACTATGGTCTTTTGCGTTTATCTCTCCCCCACCACCACCGCCCTCCCTGCCCCAGCAGAATGTTTTGAGATGCATGCATGTCGCCGCGTATGTTAATAGTGTGTCCCTTTTATTCCTCACTCTATTTTGGAGAAATTACTGTGTATGCCACATGTGGGTATGTTAACCTGCATCGTTTCAGTTGGAACCCCCACAACCTTCCGGTTTCACAGCCGAGGGGCCAGAGGCTCGGACGCCCAGCAGAGGAGTTTGGGGAGGTGCATCTAGCCAAGTCCTGGCAGACACTCAGCCTGGCTGCCAACACCACCACGGTCCACGGCACGACCTGTGGCACCAGCTGTCAAGCTTCAAGGGGAAGAGAGGGCCTGGCCGTGCGCAGGGTCCAGCCAAAGATGCGGGAGCCGCTGCCTCCACGGCCGACCCGTCCCAGCCGTCTGCCTCTCCAGCTGCCTGCTGCGGCTGCGGGTACTTCCCGAGCAGACGCAGAGAGGCCGCCAGTTTCCCACGCTCAGGGCGGGTGGGAGCTGCTGCAGCCTCCTTTCTGCGGACGCGTCACCTGACGGACAGGAAAGCACGCAGCGCGCGGGGCGCTTAACCAGCGCCGCCCGGAAGTTTCTCTCCGTACGCGGACGGCACTACTTCCCGAGGAGCCGCGTCGCGATCGGCGGGAGGCTCTGCGTCCTCGGTCTGAGGGGAGAGGCGAAGTGCAGTACGGCTTTGCCTCCGCCCTCGCAGAGGTGGTCGCCTGTCGCTACCCGCCAGAAGAGAGTGGTCGAGAAGAGTGATTCAGAGTCGTCTTTTCCTCTACGCGTCCTCCTTGTTATAACAGCATCAGGAGGCTTCGTTTAAAGAACGCGGTGGAAACAAAATAGGGTGTTTTGCCCTCTGGCGTGGTGCTGCTTGGCGGACAGGAGCAACAGCTCCATTTTTCTTATTCCTATCGTGATTATTGGGAACAGCGGAGGGGGTTACAAGAAGGCTTTGAGGAAAAGAGTTGCTGCGAAACCGTCTTTCCTGATTGGCCCACGGAGGTCTTCAGCAAGGGAACAGCTGGCAGTGTTTTTCCACATCAGTTAAAGAGAGGACAGATCTGCTGAGGAGGGAGCGTGGACTCTGATCCCACAGAGCCCGTCCTGGGGTCGTCGTGGATGGGGGAAATGAAATAAATCATTCCAGACACTTCTCTGTCTGCCAGGAGAGGGGTGGCACTTCCCTGTAGTGAGGAAGGCCCTGAGCCCTTCTCTTGAAGTGGCTTTCATTGAGAACCATGGGTGCAGGTATGGATGCAAAGCCCATCAATCAATGTTATAAGGCTATGTTTACAGAAAACAAATGGAGACCATGGATAATAATTGAAGGAACACAAGAGATCTGCCTCAGGCTGGGGTTTGTGAATAATGTAAATTTCCTTCCCAGCATGAGCCGGTTACCATAGTTTTAGAGGGAAGGCAAAGCATGCTTCAAGGAATCTACTTCTAGGCCTGATTCCAGCCTGCCCTGCCCCGCCACTGAACCTCTGGATCCAGTGTAGGGCTGTACCTGCCTAATTATTGTTTGAAGCCTGAGCCAGGAGGGCGGGGCAGAGCTGCCAAGAGATAAGGAGACTTCTTTCAGATAGAATGAGGACTCCGGCCATGTCCAAGCTGAGGGGTGAGAGTCTTTTGCCTTCTCTCCGTGTCCCCTAAGTCCTTTCCTGATGGCCCCTATGTGACTGTGTCTGTCTTAGGTTGCCCCTGCCATCGAAGGGTCTTACCTGTCATTGACTAACCAGCCATCCTCTGGGGCCGAGCAGGGTGATGTGAGAGAGGCAGAGGCTGAGCCCCTGCCACGGGGACAGATTTTGTCTCCTCAGTGGCCTATTTTCCCAAGGCCTCCTTGCTCAGCTCCAGCATTGGGACCCTCTCGCTGTCAGTGGGGCTACAGTTCCTGAAACCAGATGGGTGTTTCCCAACAGTCTGTGTTTGCCCTCACATCTTCAGATTTTGGTATTAGTGTCTGCAGTGGTAGAAAGCTGTCATTCACATTAACACCATCTCCTTTAACGTTGCATTCCTTTGCTACTCTAGGAATTCATATGTAATCAAATTGTCTTTGGACCTTTCTAACATCTTTTCTTTTCCTCTTACAAATAATGGGATTTCACAGAAAACTGTGGAGGTGGACAATGCTCATTGATTGAGAGCCATGTTGCCTCATACACAGGTCCCAACAGAAACAGCCAGCGGAGGGGAGGAGAGAGTGGGAAGAAGGATAGGGCTGGGGTTTGGGGGTGGGGGCAGGGTGGGTAACATTTCTGGGGATCCCATGATTCTGTGATTTTTATGAGTAAAAAAAGTGTCTGGTCAGAGAAGGTGGGAGGCCACTGAACGTAAGTAAGTGGCATGGAGTGAGCTGAGAAAGCATCTATTGTATGAACAACAGTCTGCTATGATGCAGAAGAGGAAAATAGAGTATTTTTTTATAGCACCATGTAAAGTTTGAGTTTAGAGCTTGTGACTGTTTGTCTCCCATACTCCTCGTTTATTTCTTTTCATAGCCTTATACTGTTGCATATTTTATGCGTTTATTTAATGGCTTCTCTCCCCACTTGAAAACCCATGAGAGCAGGGTGTTGTTTGTTTACTGTTATTCTGGGGAGCCTAGCACAGTACCTGGCAAAGTATTTGGGGCTTTGTAAATTATTTACTGACTTGGTGAACAAAAAACAAATATGACACATCATTTAAAGGTGTTGTGAGAGATGCACAAAATAAAAAACCACATGACATAAGGAAAATTGATCTCTTCAAACCTGCTCTTTTCATTCTGGAGCAATAGTTGATAAAGGATAGCCAAAAGATAGTCACACCAGCATTTCCGTTACCCCCCCCCACCCAAAATAAATAAATAATGAAAGCAATGACCTCTCGCTTTATTTTTTCCACTTCATTCTAGACATTCTGTGTGCAGGGGATGTAGGAGGGAGGGTGGAGTGAGGAGGGTCAAAAGGCACAGCCTTGCAATTACAAGGCATGGGGATGTAATGCACAGCATTGCAACGATAGTTAATACTGTATTGCATATTTGAAAGTTGCTAAGAGTAAATCTTAAAAAAGTTCTCATCACAAGAAAAAATTCTGTAACTATGTCTAGAGACAGATGTTAACTAGACTTATTGTGGTGATTATTTCACAATATATGCAAATACTGAATCATGTACACCTGAAACAAATATATGTCAGTTATATCTCAATTTTAAAAAAAGAAAAAGTTGTAGGAAAGTTTAAGGTAAAACATTTGTATACTTCACTAATAGTTCTAGGGCCTGAAAGAAATCCTGTTGGATCTTACAGAAAGTTAATCATTTGAGTTAACTACTGCCGTGTTATAAGCCACCCCCAAATTTGTGGTTTAAACAAAGACCATTTTATTTGCTCATGACTCCTTGGGTTAGAAATTCAGGCAGAGCTCAGTGAGGGTGGCTCTACTCTGCTCCATGTTGTCTTGACTGGGGTGCCTCAATTGAACAGAGCAGGGTCTCTGTCTCTATGTCTCATAGTCTGTTTGTTGGTCAAAGCAAGCCAGGGGGCTAGCAAGCATGGATGGACTCAAGAGACTGGGAAATAGATTCAACTCTTAATGAGACAATGGTACAGGCACATTGCAAAAGGGATGTGGTGATGAGGAGTGAAAGAAGCCAGTCACAAAAGAGTATATTATTTATATGGAATTCTACAAAAGGTAAACTAATCTGGAGCGACAGGAAGCAGATGTCTAGGGCTGGAGGGTGGGAACTGACAAAAGGGCATGGGGGATCTTTATAGGATGACAGAAATGTTCTGTACCCTGATTGCGGTGGTGTATGCATAGGTGTATATATTTTATTATAATCAGGCAAATTATACAAAAAAGAGTAGGAAATTGGAGGTAGGAGTGACTGTTGCAACCATTTCCAAAAATAATCTACCATATGTAAAACCTTTCATTTGACAGAACCTGTAAAGATTACCTGGTTCAGTGTCTTCTTTTTACAAATAAGGAAAGTGAGGTCCAAAACAGGAACTTGTCAAAAGATACTGTTAGTGACAAAATCAGGATTGGAATGGAGACTCCTAACCACAGTCTTCCTGTCACTTCTCCCACATCCTTTAAGAAGGCCAGGGAAAAGGATACCCTGCACCTGAGTCCCACTGAGACTCAGACAAGTATATCTGGGAATGAGGGCCGGACCACGCTATCCCTTTGTACTCTAGAGTCTTCCAGGGAACTCCAGTAGACATGTACTCTGTTCCTAGTTCTGAGAGACTATCAACAAGTTACTGTAAGTCAGTGTCTATAATAAAGGTAAATGTAGCAATATTTATAAATAGAATTGAACTCCGTGGGGGAAAAAGTAGAAGAGCAGCTATGCCATAGCCACCTGTTGTCTACAGTGATATTTTTTGGATTCCTAAAAGGATACTGGTAGAAAAGGACTATTGAAACATTATTATTTACTTAAGCTTTACTAAATTAATAAACCCATTTTCAGCTAAGAATTGCTAGCTTCTATAAAGTGCTTCATACAGTAAAATAGAATTGAAATAATAAAAGTATTGCTGCCCATACTAATATGCAAATATTAGGACATTTAGGGAATTCAAAAATGTGGATATAGTCCATTCTCCATTTTTAGTATAATGTCTTTACTCAGAAAAAAATGACTTTGATCCATGTCCAAAGTGTCTCAGGCATTTACCAGGTATAGTCAACTCCTCTGGATGCCAAAGAACCTTTTAAAAAATATCTGTGCCCCCAACCAGTGTGGCTTAGTTAGTTGGGCATCATCCTGCAAAGCAAAGGGTCACCAGTTTGATTCCTGGTTGAGGGTACATGCCAGTGTTCAGGTTTGGTCCCCTGCTGGGGGTGCAAGCGAGAAGCCACCGATTGATGTTTCTCTCCCTTTCTCCTTCCTTCCCCTCTAAATAAATAAATAAATAAATAAATAAATAAATAAATAAGTTATTTAAAAAATATCTGTGAGAGACAGCAGAATAATGTGGGCTGAAATGAATTGTGGCTGATTTCAGGCCATTACCCAGAAACCTATAGACTTGAACTGTGGATGGAATCTGAACTTTTTGCTAACACAAAGTCAGTTTTGAAATTATTTACCAAAACACTAAAAAATGATCAGCAAAGGAAGTTTGTTTAAGAGAGCACCGCTCTTACAGATTTCTGAAGCTTGGGTTTTTCTTCATTTTAGTTTTGGGTTGTTATTATTTCCCCATTTTTCTAATACCTATATCTTAAACATCTTATGTTTATATAGTAGGCATTTTACTAAATGAGAGGACACTGATTTGCATCTTGAAGTTGTAGTTTCTGTCTCAAAACTGCTGATTGAAAGGAGTCTAATCCTTTCACAAACTTGAAATGTAGTTGCAGAATAAACTCTCCTGACCTAACACTAATGTGAGGTGGAAATCGATGCATTTATGGAAATAATTCAAGCCCCCCAAAAATCTACTGTTGTTTGGATTACCCCAGCCAGACGGTGCTTTGGTCCTGAATGGATTCCCCTTGTTTTAACTTGGGTTAAAGAAAGCAAAACAATAGAGCATATAAGGGAATCAGCCTGAGGCTCTCTTAGTTTTAACCTTAGCAATTCTACAAAACTTAGTTCAGTTTAGGCCATTCTCAACTGAAGACCGTTTTAGAAGTTACATTTCCACTCCATGGCTGCCATGTTTTGAAATATCTGAACTACCCATGTAGTATTATTCATAACCCTTATAGCCTTTACTCAGGTACGCACACATTTAGGTAAGTTGTTGTTGTTGTTGTTTTCCAATAGCATTAGGACCATATACAAATCACTAGTTCTACCTTAGGAACTCAAGAACCCAGCATGACACAAAATTCATGAGGGACATAAACCAAGGCTTCTAGGTCTTTTACACACTTTCCTGCTAACCT